CGGGTGGGAGCCGCGGCTGGCGGCCCTCAGGGGCGGTGACAGCGGGACGTGAGCGCGGGGGTGGGATGCTCCCGGGAGAGGGGGAGCCCCCGGCCTCGGCCGCCGCCGGGAGGAGGGGGTGCGGGTGACCCTGATAATCGCTTTATGTTGGCCTGCGGCTTGCGTAATCTGCGATCAATTATTTATTTCATGCACCACTTACGGGGCTGAGGGGCAGCGGTAAGGCCTTTGGTGTGGCTCAGTGCAGCAGAAGGGAGGCTTCTTTCCCACTGGTGTGATAGGGGAGGGATGTGGAGGCTTTTTTCCTAGGTTCAGGTAGTATTCCTAATGCGTGTTCCTCCTCCCGTGCAAATTCCGGGGATGTGAACGAGGGAGGTCCTTCTTCATGGACATCTTTTTAAAGATCAAGTGGAAGCCGTCCTAGTCTGAACAAAAATAACCTTGTGTGGTTTACTTCATGTGCTAGATTGTCTCTGATTTATTTATTTATTTATTTATTTTTTCCTCGGCTCATTCTGTAGCAGGTTGGGCTGCTCAGCCAGCCTGGAGAGAAGGCTGAAGAAGGAAACATGTCTTCTGATTCTTTTTGTCTGTCTGCTCAAGCAAGGTTTGACTCCAAATGGTTGAAGACAGACCTGCAGGTAAGAAGTTTGATGGTCATAATGCATTGTGACCTTTCAGGTGCCGGTCAAAGATGCTTTTAGTCTAAAAAGCTTGACAAGTGGAACACTGCAGCTCTTGAGATAGTGTATAGGTTTTCCTAAGTATGCTGATTTATAAATGGTTTTGAAGAAACACTAAGTTATTTTGAGCTGCAAATAGATCTGCATTTTCAGTCCAGTCCCTTCTGCTTTGAAGCAAGCTGGGCTACGTGTGTATGTTATCTTTTCTGAGTGTCAGAATCCCTAGCAGAGTATTTGGCATTTCTGCTAGAACTATAAATTCTTATTTGGGCTGTTGCTAAATGTCTTGCCTGCATATGAGCTAGCAGTTTTAATGCACAGGAGAATTGAAGTGAAAGGTGATGGAAATGTAATTTATTATTTGAAGAATTCAAATTAGATTCTGCTGTAGTTGTTTGGGATTGAAATGGAAGTGGGCTTCATTGAAATATGCCAGTATTTGGTGAAAGTTTTCTTTAGTCTTAGAAGATTTCTTCATTTAGCAAAGTTGCGTGATATGGAGTAGGAGGATGCTGACTTATTTTCCCAATCCAGGTTTTACGATTAAGTGGAGAATACAGAGAAATAGAATAGTTTGGGTCAGTTATGTTTGTTTTAGATGAAATGAGTAACTAGATTAAGTCCTTGTGTCTTTGCCTTCCATTACCCAGATGTTGCGTATCGATCCTGTACTTTGAATAACCTGTCCAAGTTTCATCTCAAAACTGTGAAGTTCTTTCTGGGATGGGCCAGCCAGAAATTATTGTTATTCTTTTGTTCCTGTTAATAATAGTGCTGCTGAAAAACTCTTAAAAATTCCATCTTTGTGACTTTATCCCAGATTACCTGCTGATGGTCTACATGCTTGGGTTGAGTTCTTACAGTTAGACAAGGGTTTTTTCCCCATGCAGTTGTGATTCAAAATCAGCCTTTCTCCAGTATTTTACATCAAACAAGATAAATTGGAATCATAAGTGACAGATATAGCCTAAGAGGTTCCATTATTTAGTAGGTCTTGAATGTAAATGCTATGAAATGACAGGGCTTGCTCGTGATTTGTCTAGATTAATTCTATTTTCATCTTTTGTTCCTACCAAAGTAAAAGTTTCCATCTAAAGTCAGATGTTTTCTCTAGTGTAGTAAATAAAGATGCTATACAGCATTTTGGAGATAAGAGTATCAAGAAATATGGAAGTTTTTTTTTGCTTCCAGAAGGGTGGCTTTTAGATCACAAGTGTATTGCTTCAATGATTGTTGAATGCAGAAAAAATTATCTGAAAAAGTGGCAGCCTTTGTTTGTAACACCTGCTGACTACGTATTACCTTTTTTTTTTCCTTCTGTATTATATGGGGTGAAAAATGTGACTGTTCATGTGATTTATCAGATTTTTCCTTTTTTGTAGTGCCTTTTTTCTACATCCCTTTTTTTCCTATTTACTTAAAATTTTGACAGGAGGGTTTCAGTTGTCATCCAAAGTTTTAAGGGTTATTTTCAGTTGTGTGCATAAATGCAATGAAATATTTGTGATTTATGAGACTGTAGTTTAGTTTTTGTGTTATAAGAATTCCTTTTAATAACAAAAATCTTAATTTGCACCATATTTCTATGAATAAACAGTCTTACTTACAGGAATTCTTAATGAGTAATAGCAAGTTAGACTCTAATTGCCAGAGTACTTTTTTTTTTTTTTTTTCTTCCCATCAAGCCATAGTCAAAATAATGAGAATAATGAAATAAGAGAACAGTAATCATTTGTGATCTTCTGGACACAAACATCAGTTCTCTGGAATCTGAAGACAAGCCAGGCCTCCTGTGTATAATATAATTTTCTTATTAGGTTACCTGTTTTTGGTATTACCCAGGTCCTTATCACAGAACTCTTAATTGGATGCATGTGTTCAGTATTTTGAAAAATTGAGCACGTGAATCTTGCATAGCATCTTTTAATGTATTAAATGGCAGATGCCTTCTGTAAAGGAAAGGGGTTGTGGGCTCTTAGGAATTTTTCTACTACCTGAATGATTATTTTAGCTACTGGTTGACTAGCATGACCTAGCTGCGTGTGGTTATTTTTTTAATAGGTGTAAATCCTGTGTCTTAATCCTTTAAGTTCTATGTGTACTGAATATGTAGATTTCTTAATTTGCATGTTTTTACTGTCTCAGCTGTAGAAGAACCCTATTGGTGTTCAAGAGGCTGTCAGCAGGAATTGAAACGGTGAACACAGTAGTATGAGAGGGTTGAAGAAGACATACTAAATTTATGTAAAGGGATTTAGATGACTACAGATTGTTTGGAATTGGACCATGGAACTCTTCACTTTGTAGCTACATTTTTAACTTCTCAGTGTGCAGCAGTCCAGGAATGAGTGGGTGATGAAAAAGAATTATTCTGAGGAATTACCTTAGGAGACATACAGAGACTGATTAATTTTTAAAATAAATTCTGCTGCTGCAAAATTTGGGGTGTGTAGCTAGGATTGGAAGTAAAAGGGTTTCATTTGGTGTCCTAGTAGTCTCCAAAGTACTTTTTATTTTACTTTTTCTTTTGTCACTGTTGTTAGAGAGTTTGTTCTTTAGACTTAATAACTGGCAGTTATTGTAGATTAAGCCAATGAAATATCTCTGAAAATTATCATATTCTTTTTTTGTTTTAGCTCAAGAAGATATTGTGTGAGTAATGTAATGCACAATACTCTAGTATTGTTTGCATTAATAAGTATTATATTGTGGTATTAATACAATAAGAAGAGAATGACATGTGGATTGTAGCATGCCTTGTGTTTAATCACCTGTGTGCGTCACTGTTGCAGCTGCTGTCCAGGCCAAATTTAAATGTTCTTACTCAGTTTTGGGATGTTACCGCTGTGAGACAAAGGCAGTGTGATGTAGCGTGCTATTACTGTTCTTAAGTGAATATCAAAGACATGAGTGCTTTTGTAGTAGCCGTGAGCCTCTGGCCTGCAAGATTACCTGACATGGTGTGAAATATTAATGGAACTTGATGTTCACAATGTTTATTGCTTACATTAATTTTTCTGAAACTGAACAATACTATTTTAGGAAGCCAAAGTGCTCTACAAAGGTCCAAATTTTGCAACTTGTCTTTTTACAAACTTATAAATTATTTGTATGATTTACGGCTACTAGTGTAATTTTGAAGTGCTCTGAAACATGTAATTTACTTAAAAAAATCTGAATTTCCTGTTGGAGCAAAATAAGATACTCTGTCTTATCTGAAAAAACAAACTGTTGCAGCAGGTGAAAAATCAGGGTAGTTCAGCTGAATATGGGAATGTCAATATACAATATATATGTAGTATGTTCTCCTATGACGTGTCAATAGGATGTGAATAACATCACCATTAATAAAATAGTCCTATGAAGCTATAAAATAGGTAGATTTTAGTGCAGCCCACTTTTTCATGTGTCATTCTTAATACAGTTGCTTGTAAAGTTAGTGTATTATTTCAATTTCTAAGTTACTTATTTAGATTTGAATTAATACATTGAAAACACCTACCTATTGATGACTGTTACCAGTGGAAACCATCATGTTTATAGCAAACACTGTGTGTAATGGGAGATTGTGTTTCAGTGACAGTTCCTAAGGAAGACATCCTTTATTATAAAAAGGGAGGATTAAAATTATTTACTTAAACCTAGGTACCCAGTTTGCAGAATCAAACTGTGCTTAAAATAATTCTGATTAAATAGATGTACTGTACAACTAAATTAGAATCTTATGCAGAGACCTTTAATTAGTGATGGATGAATAACTAAAAACTAGAATTGCTGTGAGCTAATGGGATGCATGTGTGTGTTCAAATGGAGTTTAATTAGACTGCTTATTCTGGATCCTGTGGAGAACTGTTGTGCTTAGTAGCAGGAGGAGTTAGAGGGAAAAACTTTCATTTTCCTGTGCTGTGGAGAAAAAACTTTAGGCAAACAGTCAAGGTTCAAGAGCTGTCTGTAAGAGGAATATGAGGCATTTCCATCAGTTTTCATTGAGTTCATAGTTGGCAGACTATTTCTGTCATTATCTTTTGCCATAGAGATGAAAATGAGTTTTTAAAATGAAATAGCAACCTTTAAGAGTTGCATTGGTTAGAAATTTTCTTACCCTTCCTTCAGAGTTACATTTGTCATTTTGTTTTTCTTGAAAATTCCACTCTTCTAACATTTAGATCAGAGTCTTGTGAGATTATGTAAAGAAACGATGCCTTGGCTACTAAAACTGAGAAGTTGGTGAAAGTTGCCTTCTCAATTTTGTTACTTTCCTGTTAATCTATGTTTTGGTTTTCTGATCAAAAAAATGAAGGGCTTTTTTGGAAGTTCTTACAGCAAACTGCAAATGGGGATTCCTTTGTATTTAAGGGAAGTGAACTTTGCATTAGCAATATTTAAAAGTTATTTTAAAAATGAAGTAATGCTGTGTCTCTGAAGTAAGTAATTTCCAGATGGAGGGACAAACACTATATGTGGTGTGATAGGTTAGAGAAATTAGATTTAACACATAGCTTCAAATACTTGTGCTCAGACAGACCTATTCTTTAAATGCATATAGATATTTTCTAGATTTGAGGGAATTGCATAATTTTTCTTTGTGTGTGACCATTAACTTTTCCAGCAAGTAGAAGACCAGCACACTGCTATTATGAGGACATTTCTAGTTGAACCCCAAATCTGTTGAAGCAATGTGGGGCTGCTGAACTTGCTCTCTGAGCTTTTGAGCACTGTGTTTAGGTCTAGTGATGTTGCACTAGGTGTGATAAGCAACTGTGGTTTCAGGGCATGCTTCGTTCAGCAGGGAAGGAAGGAAGCTAGGACAAAATACTAAGACAACAATGAAAAAGGAAACACAAATTGAATGGATTCATAAAAGCAAAAACAAAAGAGAGACTTAGGAAAGGACTTACTGTTCTGTGATTTTCTTCACTACTACTTGGACTGAAAATGTTTTTTGCTTAAATATTTTT